ATTGAAGAGCTGAGTCTGATACAGACCTACTGTACTGCATCTACACAACAGATAGAAGTCTCCTTTAAACAAGATAGATTGTTTGTTTAGTGGTGTATTTACCGACAGTGGTGATGTTAATGAGTACAGCTGCAGCTAGTAAATTTTAATACACCTCCACTTCAGATCTACTGCACACATGTACTGAGAGAAAGTTTAGAAGAAAGTGTAAGTTTACAGTGACTGAACTTTAATATGGTTGAAAAGAATCTGCAAACACATTTTGGAACTACAATCACAGTCTTCTGCCAGTCAGATCATCTTTTATTTTGTTCAGTAATTTAAGCATGATTTGACCTGAAAGACTATAAAAGTCCCACAGGTTTTCCTCTGGTGATCGATACAATTTACAAACATCCTCTGCCTCCTTAAACTTTTTCTTAACTCTGAGTTCTCTGATGAGTAACAGCTGCCAGGCTGAGAGCAGTGCCACAAATTTTCCCACTGCCACAGTGAAGGTAAATCAGGTACTGAGGGTATATTTGTATAAATTTACACTCTCGCCTTCCTTATTTTGTGTCCCTGAATGGAAACACCTTAAAATACATATTGCATGAGACCAAATACACAAAATCCTGTGGTGCTGCTCTTTGTCTTTTCCTCTGGTGCAAAACCCCATTGCAACTCCTTTGTAAAGATGGACACATTGAATTTCAGTGTTTAGCACCAAAATGAGCCACACAAGCTCTGTGTTAATTCTTCTTTCAAGTTACATAGCCTTGCTATCTAAGTAGGTTGCCAAGAAATTTGCACATTGATTTTCCAACAGCTATACAGCTGCAAGAACAAGTAATGGTGCTGTTTGCAGTTTCCTGGTTTTCTACATAAAGTGGTCATGAAATGAGATCTGATCTTCACCAAAATCACAAATATCAACAAACACAATATTTTTACACTGATAAAACACAAACAGCAATGATCTTTCATACCTTTACTGAACACACTTGTTAAATGTACAAAGTTAAGGTAGAGAAATTAATGGCAGCACTAGGCTTGATGGTGGAAAAAGTAATGAAAACAGTGTTTTGATAACTGGTTGAACCACCTTTGGCAGCAGTAGCCTCAAGCAAGCGCTTCCTGTAGCTGTGGCTTAGACCTGCACAACATTCAGGCGGAATTCTGGATCATTCTTCCTCACAGAGCTGCTTTTGCTCAACCATATTCTTAGGACATCTGGTGTGAACGTCTTGAGGTCATTCCACAGATTTTCTATTCGGTTGAGGTCTGGGCTCTGACTTGGTCGCTCCAAAAGGTGGATTTTGTCTCCAAAGCCATTCTGGAGTAGATATACTTTGATATTTAGGGTCATTGTCCTGCTGCATCACCCAGCTTGTTCTGAGCTTCAGCTAGCTGACAGCCACCCTGACATTATCCTGTAGGATACCTTGATAAACTTAGGAATTAATTTGCCCTCCACAATGGCAAGTGGTCCAGGTCCAAATCATGATGCTCCCTCCACCATACTTTACTGGAATGATGTTTTCCTGTTGGTAAGCCATGTACTTGTTATGCCATATGTAGTACTGTGTGTTCTTCCCCAAAAACTTCTGACTTCTTTTCATCTGTCCACAGGACATTTTCCCAGTTGTGTTGTCGAGTATCAGGGTGGTCTTTGGTAAACTTCAGGCATGGTGCAGTGTTGTTTTTGGAGAGCAGTGGCTTCCTCCATGGTGTCCTACCATGCTTGTAAAGTATTTTGCATATAGTTGACTTATGAACAGAGATGTTAAGCAACTCCAATGACTCCTTCAAGTCTTTAGCTGTTACCTGAGTTTTTTTTTTTTTACATACTGTAAATTGAGTGTTCTGCATTGTGCCTTTGAGGTGATCTTGGCTGGGCACCCACTTCTATGGAGGGTAAACACAGGACTAAAATGTCTGACTGTGGACTGATGACTCTGTAAACCCTTTCCAGCTACATGCAAATCAACAACTCTTAATCATAGGTCTTTAGAGATCTTTTTTTTGCGAGGCATGGCTCACATCAGCTGATGATGCTTGTGAATAGCACATGGACTCTGTTTGAGTGTATTTATAAGCCAAGGTCATTCTAAACTACGCCTCCATTCTTGTTTCATTTGTTGGACTCCAGGTTTGCTAACGCCTGTCTCCAGTTGATGTTTAGTGACATCAGAACCCTAGTGCTGCCATTAATTTTTGTGCTCAATAAAGACATAAAAGATTGTGACTGTTTGTGGGTTATCAGCTTAGAAACATTGTATTTGTTGATATTTGTGACCTTGGTGAAGATCAGATCACATATCGTGACCAATTAATGCAGAAAACCAGGAAATTGAGAACAGTGCCCATGACCTTTTCTTGCGTAAATCCTTAGGATAGAGACACATCAAGTCGACATCAAAGAACTAGCAGCAACTTAACTGTCACCTCCTGTCAACTTCATTAGGGCCGAAAAGTGGCACTTGAACAGACCTCACAGACTACAGCCAATGTCCAAGTAGCATGTATCTTTTGTGCCTGCATGAGAGGAACCCGCCATACTAGCAGAGGGCAGTAGTCTGTATTCATCATTCAAAAAAGGAAATGAGGAAGAAGTAGGCTACAGATATGCACACTTTTCATTTGAGCCCCATTACTGACGGTGCCCTATGAAAAGCAGTAACAATAATCCAGCACTTTATTTCTTTATCTCAAGGCACCTTACGTGGCAAGTGTAGACCTTATTATCATTATTATTGTTATTATTATTATTATTATTATTATTATTGAGGAAAAACCCAACAAACCCTCTTGAGCAAGCACTTGGCAACATCAGGGAGGAAAAACTCCCTTTAATGGAAGAAACCTCCGACAGACCCAAGCCTTCTGCCTCAAACAGTTGGGGTGAGTGGATAGAGGAGAAGGGGGAAAAAAGAAAAGCAAAAAATATGCAACAACAAACAAACACTGGGTAGGTTGATGTGGCCTGTGACTGCTCATCAGAAATGTAGAGCTCCAGAGCCAGGGCAACCTGCTGAAAGGTACAGGGAGAGAGAGAGGAGATACACAGTTAGTGATGGGTAGTGGTGGCATATAGATGTTCTGGAGCTCTGCGTTTCTGATGAGCAGCCACGGGCCACATCACCCTGCCCAGTGTTTGATTGTTTGTTGCGTTTCTTGGGTCTTGTTGCTTTTCTTTTCTTCTCTCTCTCCTCTATCCACTCACCTCAGCTGGTCGAGGCAGAAGGCCGCCCACCAAGAGCCGGGGTCTGTCGGAGCTTTCTTCCATTAAAGGGAGTTTTTCCTCCCTGCTGTCACCAAGTGGTGCTCAGGGAAGGTTTGTTGGGTTTTCCTCTGTTTTAATAATAATAATAATAATAGTGAGGTCTAGACCGTACTTTGAGATTACGTTTTTGTGATTTGGCGCTATACAAATAAAAATTAATTGAACTGACGAATGTTCCTGATTTTGGCAATATTGCACAGGTGAAAAATGGTGGTTCAAGAGACTTTATATTGTGGGGTTTGGTAAACCACTCATTCTTTAGGTGGCTGGAGACTCTCATTGCAATTTTCTTTTCTTTTTTTATTTTGCAGAAAGTGCTGGAGAAGGATACTGGTGACACCCAAGGACACGCACACTATTTTAGCAACAGTAGTGACCAACACATACAACCCTTAGACCAAAGAGATCACAGGGACTACGGCTACCATAGAGATTCAGAGGAGCACAGGAATCACAGAGACCATCAACGAGACTGGAGGGATGAGAGAGATCACAGAAGCAAACCCACTGACGAAAGCAGAGGTCACAGGGATAGGCAGGAAAATATCTCCTTAAAAGACGAGATGAAAAAGGAGAGGATGCTCATAACGGTGTCATGTGGCCTGACACCACCTCCAAATGTCAGGGTTAAGGAAGAGGTTAACAAGGAGCAGGCCAGCAGAAGCCAACACAGATTAAAAGTGGAAGAGACAGACAGCAGTGGCAAAAAGTCACCCAAGGACAGCAGAGAAAAAGGCAGAAAAAAAGATGAAAGCAGTGATGAAAGCAGTGATGACAATGACAAAGGAAAAGCACCTAAAAAGAAAAAGAAGGAGAAAAAGAAGAAGAAGAGGAAGAAGAAGGAGAAGGAGGATAAGTTCTAATTGTTGTCATACCTGTCAGTTTTTCACTCTTGATAGATATGCGTCCACTGTTTTTGCCAGCCAAGGCTAAACATGTCCCTGACTGATGCAGAGGTGAAATTGGTATAAATCTTTTCTTATGATTGTCGCCACATTTTCAGACAGTTGGATTTTCAACGTGCTCGCTCACAACATGCTCATCCACCTTTTGCTAAGTGGGTATGTACAGATTTTTATGTCACACGGAATATGATGATATTTTAGGTATGTTCCCACATTCTGGTTTAATCGTTGGATTAAAGGTTGGAAAACTTTGGCAAGTAATTTTTGCCAGCATTCAATGTTTTTCAATACCATTGCTGCTGTGTGAATATTTTCTAAGAACTTACAGCATTGTAGTGTTGGAAATGCTATTTAAGTTCCATTTTCTTTTGACTTGTCTGCATTTTTATCTGAAATACAGGATGACATGTTTTTCTTCTGTGGTGACATTTACATAAAACTGGAAATGTGTAGTTTAATAAAGGAAGCTAAAAAGACAAGTGTTATTGTAATTGATGTGATGTTTATTTTTACAGTGCACTGTCCATAATCTGTTAACAAAAAAGTCAAAATATGTATATATTTAATGTAGGTTGAGTTTCAACATTTTTGATACTTGGCAGAAGGCTAATCAACATCTTCTCATTATGTTATTAGAAAGTGTCATCTGGATTGTGTCTTTCCATCATGTGTCAAGACGGAGACTCAAATTGTGAGGGTAACCAGGATACAGGATCACTGTATCGGCATTAAAGTCCTGCAAGTTCCTGGGCTCTACTATCTCCCAGGACCTGAGTGAATGTCCAACATCAGCACATCACCAAGAAGGCTCAACAGAGGATGTACTTCCTGCGCCAGCTCAGGAAGTTCAGCCTCCCCCAGGAGCTGCTGATATAATTCTACAGAGGAATCATTGACTTCGTTCTCTGCACCTCCATCACCGTCTGGTTTGGCTCAGCAACCAAATTGGACAGGAACAGACTCCAGCAAACAGTCAAGACTGCAGAACAGATCACTGGTGCCAGCCTGCCCTCCATGGAGGACCTGTACACCTCATGGGTCAAAAGGAGGGTGGAGAGGATCACTGCAGACCCCTCACACCCTGTACACGATCTGCTTGAACTCCTCCCGTCTGGGTGGCGCTATAGGTCAATATGCACTAAGACAACCAGGCACAAGGACAGTTTCTTTCCCTGAGCCATCACTCTGATTAACACTTGACGCTTGACAGTATGACTGGTCAATAACCCTCAGTGCAATACCTGTAAATATACCTTGTACATATAGATTTGTAAAATGCATCTAGACTGTGTACACACACGCACATACATATATATACATACACACATTTTTTTTTTTTTTTTTTTTACCTTTTTTACCAATGCACGTTCCTTTTGCTTGTTTGCACATTACTTCTTTCCTCTCTGTTCTCTCAGCCTTATATTGTTTACTTGACTATTGCTGCCTTACATAAGGGCATGTACAAACATATTGAGAGCCGTTGTACCAGAGTCAAATTCCTTGTGTGTCCAACACACCTGGTCAATAAAGCTGATTCTGATTCTGATTTAGGCTGTTTAGGATTACAGGAAGATTGAATGTCCAGAGAAGAAAAGGTAAATGCTACCTACGAGTCCTGTGTTGTGCCAACAGTGAAGCATCCTGAGAACCATCCATGTGTGGGGTTGCTTCTCATCCAAAGGAGTGGGCTCATTCACAGTTCTGCCCCGACGAAGTGGCTCAGAGATCACTGCTTTGAAATTTTGGATCCATGGACAGGAATTTCTCCAGATCTCAATCCAATTGAGAATGTATGGGTGATCATCAACGGGTGGACAAGTAGAAGCCTACCAGTTGTGATCAACTCCAAGTACTGATAAGGCAAGAATGAGATGCCATCAGTCAAGATTTGGCCCAGAAGCTGATTTCCAGCATACCACAGGGAATTGCAGAAGTCCTGACAAAGAAGGTTCGACATTGTAAATACCAACTCTATAAATAAATTTCATTTATTTGTCAAGTCTTCAAAATATATAAAATGCTTGTTTTCCATCATACCTCAGAAACATGTAGAAAGAAAGTCTAAAAAAATGTAAGCAGCAAAGTTTGAGAACTACATTTGTATGACTGCCAAAACTTTTTGCCATGACTGTATATTATGTTGTGCAGAGCAATGCAGAACAGTAACACACCAGACAGAATATGTTATTAACACTCAAGGTAGCTCCTCAGATAAAACGCTTTAGCCATCCTCTTTGATGGTACAGATGCCCCCTATGCTTCTGCATGCATATGAATCACGAATTAATTGCCATTAAAAAGCTACCTCGCTGTCCCTAGTACTCTAGTTTCTTTTTCATTTCTGGGCAATGTCTTTTTTAAGTTCTGTAAGTAAATAATGGATTCAAAGTTATATTTGTGATAATAGGTTTCTGTATTGACACAGATCCGGGCATTTTTCACAGGATCAGTACCAGCCAGAATAAAGCAGACCCATGTCCAGTCATTATGTGGAACTCCAGTCTTGTACTGGAGCAGTTTCACTCGCGTCACGCAACTGACAAAGCTACAATATTAATCTGTTCAGCTGTCTATACTACCTGTGTGTGGGCTGGTATATAACTCCCACAGCTGGACCTGAAGCATATTTTAGCTTCAGGTCTATTTTTTCAGACCTACGCATTTAAACCGCACAGAATTCACCAACTCAATGAAATCTCATTAGTTTCAACCAGAACTCCGCCAACATAGAGAAATACATCAAGCAAAATATCATCCGTTACATTGATCTTATTGATGTGGGCTGGATGTGCTGTAGCCTACATGCACTGTAGTCATTCATTCCAATAATTCCCTCATTGTCCGATACTGTATTTGGTGGAGTTTTGGACTGTAGCCTTCCCTTTTCCAAAGTGTTTCTCTAGGCTCCTCTGTGTTTTTGTACACAAGCGCTTCCTATGCGCGAGTGAACACGCTCAGTATGAACACAATTGTGAGCTTCCCATGATGTGCACGCCAGATGTTATGGTGTAGACACATTAGGCTTTTGTCCAGCAGTGGTACAACATCCGCCACCTCTGGGTAATGGAGCGTTATTAAATTATCAAACAGGAATATCTGAGTTTGACAGGTTACACAAACACTGTGTTCACATACAGATTGTAGTTAGTGTCATGTGAAGAACCTGTAGTTCTGAGTTGTGTGTTGTCCAACTGTTATTTTTTTATTCCTATCAATAATTAAGCTAATAATATTTTGGAACCAGGACCTGATCCAATATTTGGCTCAAGAAGATCCTGAAAAATACGGCTCCAAATTAATTTTGATTTCACTAAGTCAGATATTTAATGAACATTTACTGTAGATATAAGTATCGGATCAGAACTGATATTGGAATTGAATCATTATCAGGGTTTAAAAAAATGCATCAGTGATATGAACAGTATTAAAATGAGGGCTCTGGTAGTTAGATGTGGGTACTTCATGTGTCTGTGTCCTGGGTTCTCCCTGTGCCAGTCAAAACAAATGAGCCAGTTGACTGAATAGCTGTATTATAAAGCCATCCTTTTATTTTGGCTGTTGCTACAATATGCTGTACTGAAAAGCTATGTCACTTGATGCAAGTGCAAAAGAAAAGTGTTCCATAGGCAAAAAAAAAAAAAAAACAACCAAATATTCAAATTATCACAATGTACAAGTTCTTACTTGGTTTTTTCCTCAGAACCTCTGTAAAATAATTTATAAAGACTTATCTCTGTTATTTACATTTGCAGGTAGATATCTGATGGCTGTACAGCACTCAAACCGGTGAACCATTAAAAGTACTGCATTACCTTCCAAGGTGAATGTCATCCTGTGTAAAAATCCAGGAGATACTGAGAAAACACTGGCATGTTGAATGGTACGTAAACCTTTTAGCAAGACTGGATAATAAAAAGATGTCTACTGGGGTCCCGATCCTTATGAATGCATAACAAATGGGATTCTCTGATTAGTTCATATCCATTGGAAAGTAACAAATATACAGTATGTTGATGGTAATGATATTTGTCCTCAGGTTTTCTGTATATATATTGATCAACTAATTTACAAGATAAAGTGCCTTTGCGGATCTTATTATAATCCAAGCCAGGTCCTGAAAGAATACTTAAACACTGTTGGATAGAGCTATCATGTCCAGTAATAGTATTATAAAGGTTTATGGGATATGGAAATCAGTAATAATATCTCATAAGCTGCTGATTCTTGTACTTGAACAAATCATAATAAAGTCAAGAGAAGACTACAGTCAAGCCTGGTTCTTTATTCTACTGTATTTACTGTATATGTTTTGAACAGGGAGATACAGAATGGTGTTAAAGTCATGACAGGGCAGGGGTTTTCTACAAACAGTAATATTCTCCAAACTCAGCTGATGTGTGGTGTGGCATGGCTAATTCAAAAAGCTTGTACATTTATTAGAGCTCTGTGTTCCTGTGTGCTGGTGGTGGTCATTGGAAATTATCTGTCTATCTTATCTGTCTGTCTGTCTATCTAGTACATATAAAGTCACCACAGCATCATCCAAAAACACTAATAACAGGAAATAAAGAGTTAAAATAGACTGAAAAGAAGGAAAAATATTCATCAGACCATATTTAAGAAACTAGTGGCAGCTGGAACAAGAGAATTTTTAAACCAGTTTATTCGGCATCTTGGCTGTTTGTACCTACAACCAGATGGAAGCAACTTAAACTCTCCAAACAAAGGATGACTGGGATCAGCCAGGATGGCCTTGGCCTTCTTCAGAGCCCTGACTTTACTGACTTTAATAATGCCCTGCGGTTGGGTGTTGTAAAATTTCCCTTCATTTTTCTCAAACTTCATTATCTCTGCTCCAGTTGGTCCAAAATGCAGCTGCTCATGTTCTGACTAGTACACGGCGTCACGAGTGTATAACCCCAGTTCTTGCCTCACTCCATTGGCTTCCTGTTCATTTTTTTTTAGGATTGATTTAAAATTGTTGATGTTTGTCTATAAGGCGGTGCATGGGCTAGCACCTTCGTATATCTCTGAGCTTGTACATTTTTACACTCCAGAGAGGACACTTAGGTCTTCCAACCAGTTGTTCTTGGATGTTCCTAAATCCAGACTAAAACATTGGGGAGACCGAGCTTTTGCGGTACGGGCTCCTATACTGTGGAATAATCAGCCTCGTAATATTAGATCTGCTCCTAACCTGACAACGTTTTGTTCACTCCTTAATGCTCATTTGTATTTGCAGGCCTTTAGCAACATCTCTGATTGATGTATTTGTTTTTGATTGTGCATTTTTGCTGTTTTATTGTATATGTGTGATTTATTTGGTTTTATTTTTCTTGTTTTACTGTAAAACACTTTGTAACTTAGGTTTAGAAAGGTACTATGTAAATAAATTTTGCTTGCTTGCTTTTCACTCACAGGTGTTACATTTACACTTCAAAGACCGTTTTCACACCTTTGACAAAGTGAATTAATTAGTTTGAATAAAAGTAAATATAAAATGAATATTAAGCAAGTAAATTAGATAATTCTCTTGGTTTAAGGGATAGTGAAGGGGATAGGAACAGTTTCTCCCCATAGTTAGGCTTAGT